GGCGGGTCGGGCGGCGGCCACGGGCGGCGGCGGGCGGCCGCAGGTCGGCGGGAGCGGCACCGGAGCCCGGGTGGCCTCAGAAGCGGAGCGTGAGCCCCTGAGTGCAAGCGCTGCTTTGGGAGTATCGCATGTCCGAGAACCTGAGAAGTTTTGTTGTTGTTTCGCTTGATTTGTCTATATATATATATATATATATATATATATGTATATATAATATATATATATGCATATGTATTATATAATATATATATATATATATATATATATATGTATGTGTGTGACCGGAGAACACCCAATCATGATCTTTTTAAGCTATAGGCCTATGGGCTATAGGGTCATAGGCTGCAAGGCTCTGGGGCTACAGGGCTACAGGGCTGTAGCGCTATAGGGCTATCGGGGTATTTCCCCAGTCAGAGCTTACCTCTGTAGGGGTCCTAGCGGATTCATATGGTTAGGTGAGGTTGGGCGCCGGTTTCGGCAGCACGCCCAGGTACCCGGGTGCACGGGTGCCCGGGTCCCCGGGTGCCCAGGTGTCCGGGTGCCCGGTAATGGGGGGATGCGATTAAAAAAATCGCCACCCCCACCCCCCACCCCCCTCGGACCCCCCAAAATGATTGCGTGGGGCTGACCACTAGAATTCAGCCGCCGGAAACTGTTTTCTTAATCGTCCGCCCCCCGGCGTTTGCTTTTGCCCCTTTGGGGGAACTGATTTTCTATTCGTCCTCTTTCGCTCGCTTGATTTTCCATTCGTCAAGGGCTAGGAGGGCCGCCCTGACTCCTCTGGAGGCCAAAGAAGCACCCTGCCTCCCAGCCTGCCTGACTGGCTGCGGACTGCGACGCGCGGCGACGAGGAGGAAAGGGCGAGACAGCGAGAGGGCCACCCTCGTCGTTGCGGACGGGGGGGGGGGAGAGGAGGACGAACAGGAGGAGGACGAGGAGGAGGAAGCGGAGAAAAAGGAGGAGGAGGAGGAGGACGAGGAGGAAAAGGAGGAGGAGGAGGCGGAGGAAAAGGAGGAGGAGGAGGAGGATGAAAAGGAGGAGGAGGAGGAGGAGGAGGAGGAGGAGGAGGAGGAGGAGGACGAGGAGGAGGCGGAGGAGGAGGAGGACGAGCTCGCCCTGAAAAATCACCCCGTCCACCCCTGGCCCCCGCGCCCTGGATCGCCACCCCGTGCCCCCCCCCCCCCCCCCCTGGCCTTCCAGGCAGCCCGGAATTGTGAGCCCCCCGTCTGCCTGCCCTGCCCCCCCGCTATTGCGGGGGCGAGGAGGCCCGGGAAACATTTGTTTTAATCGTCCGCCCCAGAAAGTTGTTTGCATCGCTTTCCCCCCATTAGCCTTATAGCCCTATAGCCTCATAGCCCTGTTGCCCTATGGACCTGTAGCCCTAATAGCCCCATGGCCACATAGCCCTATAGCCCTATAGCCCCAGAGCCTCATAGCCCTTTAGCTCTATAGCCCCATAGCCCATGACCTAAAAAGATTAGGATTTGGTTTTTTCCTCCAGTATCATAGGGCTATAAGGCTCAGGGCTACCAGGCACCCGGGCACGGCACCTGGGTGCCCGGGGGTGCCCGGGTGCCCAGGTGCCCATGGTGCCCCAGGGCCCCGGTGCCGGGGTGCCCGCGGGGGTGCCCGGGTGCCCAGGTGCCCGGGTGCCCGGTAGCCCAAGAGCCCTAATGCCCTACAGCCCTTGGGCTTTATTGTCTTATTGACCTATTGCCTATTGCCCTACAGCCCTATAGCCTTATAGCCCTATAGCCCTCATAGCCCTATTAGCTACATAGCCATATAGTTCTATAGCCCGGTAGTCCTCATAGTCTTACAGTCCTACAGCCCTATAACCCTAGAGCCCTATAGCCCTATAGCCTTATAGCCTTATATAGCCCAATTGCCCTATAGCCCAATTGCCCTGTAGCCCTGTAGCCCCATGGCCCTATAGCCCCATCGCCCTATAGCCCTTTTGACATATAGCCCAATCGCCCTACAGCCCCACAGCCCTTATAGCCCTATAGCCTTCTAGCCTTACAGCCCTATAGCCTGTAGTAGCCCTATAGCCGTATTGCTCTATATGCCTATAGCCCTATAGGCCTGTAGCCCTGTGGCCCCGTAGCCCTATAGCCCCATGGCTTTATAGCCCCAGCAAAAGATTATGATTGGGGCTTTTCTTTGGTAGCAAGTGTATATATATAGCGAGATATGTGTATGTACATGATGTGTTCTCTCCGCACTGGGATGGCCCCCAGACCAGCGCATGAGCGCGCACGCTCACAGATGAACTGCGGCTGGAGCCCCGCGGCCAAAACAAGTGAACCTGGCGCGACCCCAATTTTGGGCTTCCTTCTTTTCAGGCCAGAGCCAAATCAGTTCTGCGCAAAACAGAGCAATTCAAGTCAAACTGTTGCTTGGCATTGCTTGGGGTCGCTGCTTGGCATCACTTGGGATCGACGCTTGGCATTGCGTGGGATGCTTGCTTGGCATTGCTTAGGACCGCTGCTTGGCATGGCTTGGGATCGTTGCTTGGCATGTCTTGGGATCGTTGCATGGCACGTCGTGGGATATTGCTGAGCTTTGCTTGGAACTGTTTGCTTGGCATTGCGTGACACTGCACGGGCAACGCTGGGAGAGAAGGACCCGTCACCCACCGGTTTCCTGCACCCTGCCCAGGTGATTCTGGGCGGCGCGCGCCGAAGGGGCGGGGCAAGGGGGGGCAGAGTTCCTCTGGGAAGTCCCCGGCCGTCCCAGAACCCCCCTCAGGCCCTCGACGTCGTGAGTTTGCGTCTCATAGCGTCGACTCCGAAGGTCTCGCTCGACCAGATCCCAGGGACCGGCATTTCATCCCGAGTTGTTTTGTGACGGTCCCGGGGCTCGGTAGCGGCGTTCGGAGGCTGACAATATTGGAAAGCTTTATGTCACATTCTTCCATGACTGGAGGGGGTCTGCAGACAGTTTTGAGGGTCCGCCGATAACGCGCCCTCTCCCCCCTATCCCACCCCTGCATAACCTGACCTTGTTGGTGGCGCAGGTCCTACGGGGGTAGGCAGTGCTGGTGCGCGCGGGCATACACATTGTTCATTTCTAAGGATTCGAGTTCTTTGATTTTTTGGGGGGCCAAGATCCTGTCATTTCTAATTGTTTTATCCTGGGCCTCCTCCTGACCACTGGGGGGCCGGGAACAATTAGAAACGACCAAAAAATTAGAAGTGAGCACGAGTAGAAATGAACGACGTGTACGTGCCGGCACCTCCCCCCCTTCCCCCCCCCCCCGCCCCCTCGGATGAGGATAACCTGGGCCACCGCCGAAACATCAAACAGAGCGACCTCCTGGGCCCGCCCCCTTTAGCCCCCCCCCCCCCGGTGGGCGCGGGCCTGGGGAGGCGCCCGACGTGGCCTACATCGGCATGGTCGACGTCCTGACGCGGTACACCTGCGCGAAGCGGCTGGAGACGCTGCTCGGGCGCTGCCGCGGCGCCGCCCCGGGCCGCGCCTCCTGCCAGCCGCCCTCTCGGCACTCCGGGCGGGCCCAACGGGGCGATGCGGAACGATCTGGGGCAGGGGCGCGTTCGAGAGAGCGAGAGATTTCCGGCGGCGACGGACGGGCCGGAGGCTGCTCTCTCTCTCTCTCTCTCTCTGGCCCCGGAGGCCTCCGGGCTCGACAGAGCGAGAGAGAGAGAGAGACGCCTGTGGATCGCCCGCTCGCTCCCGCCCTCTCCCGCCTCGAAGACGAGCAAGACTCTGCCCAGAAGAGCGTCACCGACGCAGCAGCGATGCGACGCGCGACGCGACTGCGGAGGTCTCCGGAGGCTTCCAGAGAAGGAAGCCCGTAAAGGCCAGAACGCTAAGATCGCTGGAATGCCCGAGGGATGTCTTGCTCGGAGGATTGCCCTAGAACTTGGTGATTGGAGCCGCGTAGGGATTGCTTTCCTCCTACCTCCTCTCCCTCAGCCGTCTCGGTCTCGGGCTGTTCTTTCTCTTTCTTGCTGGGGGGCTTCGCCCCTGAACCCGCCCCGCCGCGCGCGATGCGGGGGGGCATATTCGTGACCATCCCCCTGGGCCGGATTGCTCTGGACACCTCAGTCCAGGCGGCAATCGTCCTCACGTGGCCCGAAACGGCTACCCTTGCCTTTGGAACGGGGGCGGCTGTCGCATTGACGGCCAACCCTCGGAGGGATCCAGTCACGGATTGCCCCCCGAGCGCGGCTGATCCAGCCCAGCCCCCCACGGGGGCTGACGCCGTGGGGCACGGGCACCTCCGAGTGGGCCCAGGCCCGGGGCAGCCGCTGGCGCACGCCCCGCACGCCGACAGCTGCCTGGCGCAGCCGGGGCACCTGCACGTCCTCCCGACCACGGGCGATGGGCCGCCCGAGCCCCGCCTCGGGGCACCACCGGAGGAGCTAGCCGGCTCTGGTGCACAGGCGGCAGGCGCCCCAGGTTGGATGGAGCGCCGCCTATCCCCCAGACTGGCGCCCCTATCTTGGAAGAGGACGGGGGCACTCCCCATGAGCCCTGGAGCGTCCGCAGGGCAATGAAGGAGCTGGAAGGTCCAGGCGGGCGGCCTCGCCGCGGGGTCGTCGTCGACCCCCCGGTGGGCACCTCGGACCTGGGACCCCTCGAGCGCGCGCTGGGGCAGTACAACACCCCAGTGCACAGGGCCGCCCACATGTTCCTCGGGAAGTGTATCCGGTGACTGCACGGGACCGTGCTCCAGCGCATGGTCGGCGCACTGGTGCTTGGGAGCATAAGGCTCCTTTTAGCCTGCTGCGTCACGCTGGTGCTCCGGGCAGGTCTCTGGCTGGTGCGTCGCCTTTGCGGCCTCGCGCGGCGCCCCCAGACCACCCCCGAGATGTCGGAGCTCGAGGTGCTGGATTGGAGGGGCCCGGACGGCCTCCACCCCGCCACTTCCGACTTCTTCTGGGACGCGGCTTGCGGGAGGACGGGAGCCAAACACTGGGACCCCAACCACGGGTTGGCCGTCATCGATGGGGAACGGGCGCGGTTGGAGCGGGTCGTTGGGGACCGTTCCACCTCGCGGGGGGATGGGCAGCTCTTCTTGTCATCTGCCGTCGTGAATAGCACCAGCCCCAAACTCCGCCAGCGGCTGCAGGACGCCCCCCCCACAAGGCGATTCGTCTCTGCCGAGCCCCGGGAGTCTGCCAATGTAATGGGACGCCGGAATGTCCACGAGGACCCCCTACTCGGTAGCCCCCGTATGCGCATGCTGTGGGCCCCTGGGATGGTTGGCCCGACTCGTCACGGCGATCGCCTTCAGGGGTTTTACTGCGCTGCTGGCGGGATGCCCGTGCCCCGCGTGCTTCTGCTGCCAGGGCTGTCGGCGACAAAGACGGCGGGGAGCCCACGAGCCAGGCCGCTCGGAGGAGTCGGAGGGTGATCGAGGATCTTGTGGGCTGCTGGAGGAGAAGGAGGAGGAGGAGAAGGAGGAGGAGGAGGAGGAGAAGGAGGAGGAGGAGGAGAAGGAGGAGGAGGAGGAGAAGGAGGAGGAGGAGGAGGAGGGGGGAGGAGGGGAGGAGAGGAGGAGGAGGAGGAGGAGGAGGAGGAGGAGAGGAGGAGGAGGAGGAGGAGGAGGAGGAGGAGGAGGAGGAGGGTTGCTGACCCATCCGGGCCGATCGAGGTCCAGCTCGAGGACGCGGGAGGACAGCCAGTCGGGAGTCCGCCACCGTCTGCACCTTTCGGCCCCGCCGCGCACCGCCCGGGATGTGCTGGACAGGAAGTTCCGCAGCGGTTCCGCGCCTGGGTGCGCCAGAGAGGTCCAGAGGCTCGAGACCCCCAGGAATTCGGCGTCGTTCTCCGAGGGGGGGGGGGGTCCTCGCCCCCGGAGAGACGCCCCGCGCAAACCGCGGATCGGTCAGGGTGGAGGCCCTGGACATCGCACGCTCGGTCCCGCTCGGTGTCTTGGGGGGCACACCAGTGCGCCACGCCTAGCCGCGGGCGGTGTCCCCGCGTGCCGCGTACTTCCAGGAGGTCATCCAGGGCGACTTCGACGCCGTAGACAGCCAGACACGGGACTGCGGGCGAACAGGAGCCCCCAGCCCAGACTGGAGCGGATAGGAGAGCGCTTTCAGCGCGTTGGCTTCAGACCCCTGTGGGTTGAAGGAAAGGAGAAGCCGCAGCGGTTGAGCTCGGGGCGAGGATCTCCAGCGGCAGGATTCCAGAAGTGTGGAAAATCATTGGCGGGCACCCAGCGCCGCCTTCATCTGCCCCCCCCTTCCCAAGGACAAGTCCCAGGTCTGCGTTTGGCTGCTAGCCGTCTTGTCTCTTTGGCAACGCATGTGAAAAGGTTTCGCGGCGTTCTATTTGAACTGGGCGCGCTCAGCTGCGTGGCGGCATCCTTGTTTCCTGGGGGGAGAAATCCCAGATATTCGAGGCTCGAGGGCCTGGGAGGGGAAGATTGGTGGAGGCCGATCAAAGGCCCAGAGCAGCTGGGGCCCAGTTCAACGGCCGCAAGATGCTTGTCCACCACTGGCATTCGGAGGAGTAAGATAGGAGAGGTGGTGCGGGTCCGCCGGGTCCCAAGAAGGGAGCGGGGACCCCCCCCCCGGGGGTCTGGGCCCAGGGGAGGTGGAGGAGGAGGAGGAGGAGGAGGAGGAGGAGGAGGAGGAAGAAGAAAAAGAAGAAAAGGAGGAGGAGGAGGAGGAGGAGGCGGAGGAGGAGGAGGAGCCTCGTTGGACGCCGTTGCGCTGGCAAAATGGGGGTGCGCTTGGGCACCCCGCTCGGAGGGAGATTGCACGGGAGGGCCCCGTCCTTCTTCCCAGCCGTCCTGTGGTGTTGGGTCCTCGTTATTAAGAGACAGGCCCCGCGGTCCTCAGTCCTTCCTCCCCCCTCACTTGTTTTCCTCCTCCTTCTTCCTTCTTCTTTTTTTGCCGCTGGTCTCCGCATGCCCATCCCACTGCGGCACGCCCCCCCCCCCCCCCACACACACACACACACACACACACACACACACACACACACACACACACACACACACACACCTACACACATACACACATACACGCATACACACATACACACATACACACATACACACATATACACACATACACACATACACACGTACACACGTACACACACACGCACACGCACACACACACACACACACGCACACGCACACGCACACGCACACGCACACGCACACGCACACGCACACGCACACGCACACGCACACGCACACGCACGTTTCGCGGCCCCACAGGGAGCTCCACTGAAGGCCCCAGTGGGAAAGGTCGCATGGCACCGCCGCCCCATTTCGGCACACCCCTCACGCGCTTCGTGGCCCCATAGGGAGCGCCATCCCAGGCCCCAGTGGGAAAGTTCGCATGGCACCGCCGCCCAATGTTCGGCACAACCCTCACACGTTTTGTGGTCCCATGGCACCGCCGCCCCATGTCGGGACACCCCTCAAACGCTTCGTGGCCCCATAGGGAGCTCCACGGAAGGCCCCAATGGCGACGTTCGGATACGTCCTCCCGACTCATGCCGGCACACCCTTCACACGTTTCGTGGCAGAAGGCTATACCGAGTGCGCTACTCGGAATTTGCGCGCCCCCCTCCTTCGTCTCATCTCCCTCGCAGTACTTCAGAGCCCCGAATCATCAGGGGTAACTCGGGTCAGGGCTAACTCGGGTTTGTTTTTCGGGATTCCGAACCCGAGTTACCCCGGACCCGAGTTACCCCGGATATTTCGGGCGTCCAGGGCCCCGAATCATCAGGGGTAACTCGGGTCAGGGCTAACTCGGGTTCGTTTTTCGGGAACCCAAACCCGAGTTACCCCGGACCCGAGTTACCCCGGATAAGTCGGGCGCCCAAGTACTCGCAGCTGCATGTGGTTGGGTCTTTCGTCAGGCTAATGCTTCCCCCCCCAGAATTCTGGGTTTGGTGGGCACCGTGGTGGCGTCGGTGGCGGAGTGCGCGCGGCGCGCGCTGTACACTGGCGTCTACCAACGTAAAAAAAGGGCGGAGGGCGCGCGGCGGGCGCGCTACACTGCGTCTACCGATATAGAAAGGAGCTTGCCACCTCCGTTCTCCCCCCGCAAATAAAGGACATTCAGTGCACCAGTCAATCCATCATGTTGGCCTCCTGGAGGTCCTCTTGGAGCCCTCTTGGGGCGTTCTGGGAGCTTCCTGGACCGTCTGCAGGGCATCTTGAGCCTCTGGGATTCTTTGGAGTCCCCCGGATGTTCCCGAGCCTTCCAGAGGCCTCCCGCAGAGGCCCCAACAAAACATAAAACATGTAATTACGCGACCGAGGAACCCCACATACTTATTATGGCTGGAGTGATGATAGCTGGAGTGAAGCATGTCAGAATGATGTTGGTGGCCGTTGCCACCCCCTGCGCATCCCCTATGGTGTCGAGAAAATGACACGCCTGCTATGCCGTGGACGACCGTCGTGCATAGCGGCCGCGGTGAGGGACCACCCCCTGCACACCCCCTATATGGTGTCGAGAAAATGCCACGCCTGCTATGCCCTGGATGACCGTCGTGCATAGCGGCCGCGGTGAGGGACCACCCCCTGCGCACCCCCTATATGGTGTCGAGAAAATGCCACGCCTGCTATGCCCTGGACGACCGGCTCGGATAGCGGCCGCGGTGAGGGACCACCCCCTGCGCACCCCCTTTATGGTGTCGAGAAAGTGCCACGCCTGCTATGCCCTGGACGACCGTCGTGCATAGCGGCCGCGGTGAGGGACCACCCCCTGCGCACCCAATTTATGGTGTCGAGAAAGTGCCACGCCTGCTATGGCCTGGACGACCGGCTCGGATAACGGCCGCGGTGAGGGACCACCCCCTGCGCACCCCCTATATGGTGTCGAGAAAATGCCACGCCTGCTATGCCCTGGACGACCGGCTCGGATAGCGGCCGCGGTGAGGGACCACCCCCTGCGCACCCCCTTTATGGTGTCGAGAAAGTGCCACGCCTGCTATGCCCTGGACGACCGGCTCGGATAGCAGCCGCGCTCAGGGACCACCCCCTGCGCACCCCCTTATGGTGTCAAGAAAGTGCCACGCCTGCTATGGCCTGGACGACCGGCTCGGATAAGGGCCGCGGTGAGGGACCACCCCCTGCGCACCCCCGTATGGTGTCGAGAAAGTGCCACGCCTGCTATGCCCTGGACGACCGTCTCGGATAGCGGCCGCGCTCAGGGACCACCCCCTGCGCACCCGCTATGGTGTCGAGAAAGTCCCACGCCTGCTATGCCCTGGACGACCGGCTCGGATAGCGGCCGCGGTGAGGGACCACCCCCTGCGCACCCCCTATGGTGTCGAGAAAATGCCACGCCTGCTATGCCCTGGACGACCGTCTCGAATAGCGGCCGCGCTCAGGGACCACCGCCTGCGCACCCCCTATGGTGTCGAGAAAGTGCCACGCCTGCTATGCCCTGGACGACCGTCTCGGATAGCGGCCGCGGTGAGGGACCACCCGCTGCGCACCCCCTATGGTGTCGAGAAAGTGCCACGCCTGCTATGCCCTGGACGACCGTCTCGGATAGCGGCCTCAAGAAAGTGCCCCGCCTGCTATGCCCTGGACGACCGGCTCGGATAGCGGCCGCGTGCGTGCCGTGCAGGTGTTGCGCGTGGGTGAGGTAGTGTATGTTTGTATGTGTGCTTGTGTCTGTGTGTGCCTGTGTGTATGTGTTTGTGTCGGTGTGCCTGTGTATGTATGTATGTATGTATGTATGTTTGTTTGTTTGTTTGTATGTATGTATGTATGTATGTATGTATGTATGTATGTATGTATGTCACGTCTGCCACGCTTTGCGGGAGAGGGAGGTGTGTGCGTGAGACGCGGGCGCGACGCGGCAGGGAAGAAAACCACAACCCCACGTAACATGTGGGGAACAAGTTTTAGAAACCTTTCGATACTGTGGCCCAAGAGCGGCCCCGTCTGGTTGCTTTCTGGGCTCCAAGGGGCATTTTTCCAGGGCTTTGTGCAGGTCGCTGCTCGGAGCGCTTTTCCCGAGCCCATTGCTGTCCTGCCTTCTCTCTGGGGAAAAATCTTGGAGTCCAGGTGCGAAGCCCGTTTCTGTTGTCTTGGCGCCCTCGGCCCTTCAAAGCCGAAAACGCCCAGAGACTTCGGTCCCCCTTCGACCTTGAAGCCCCAGGTACGCGGCCCGCTTCTGCAGCTTCATGCGGCACGTCCTCGCCTGCCCAGGGTCTTTGCCCGCTGCGAGCGGCGTCGACTACGAGGCGGTGGTGGCGGCGGCGATGACGACGCCAACGACGCCGAAGACGCCAATGACGCCAACAACGCCAACGACGCCGCCGACGACGACCACGAAGCAACCGGCGCCGCCGACGTCCACCGCCCACGACCACGACGACGTCCCCGACGACGGCGCCGACCATGACGCTGTCGTCGCCGTTTCGGACATGTTTGACGTTGCTTGGGATTCTCGTCGCCACGGTTGAGAGCGGTCTCACAAAATTGCTAGAATGGCGTCTCGTTTTGGGGCTATTATGAGTGGATCTGGGCGGTCGTGGACGTGGTCGTGGTCGCCGACCTCGCAATCGTCGTCGTCGTCGGCGGCGGCGTCGTCGTCGGCGTCGTCGGCGTCGTCGTCGTCGCCGTCGTCGTCGTCGTTGTCGTGGCTATTGTCGTCCTCGGCGTCCTCGTCGTCCTCGTCCTCGTCCTCCTCGTCCTCGTCCTCGTCGTCCTGGTCCTCGTCCTTGTCGTCCTCGTCGTCCTCGTCCTTGTCGTCGTCGTCGTCGTCGTCGTCGTTGTCGCCGTCGTCCTCCGACGAGGCGGCGTGGATCGGGCGCGGCGGGCGCGACGAGTGGCCACCCCCTGCATGGCGAGCCTGCGCGAGGGCCGACATCGAGCTGTCGGCCGCGTCGGGGGCCTCCGCCGTCTGACTGGCCGCGCGCGCTGGTCGCGATGGCCGCGCGTGCGGACACGAGAAACCATCCTCCTCCTCCTCCTCCTCCTCCTCCTCCTCCTCCTCCTCCTCCTCATCCTCATCCTCATCCTGATCATCATCATCAGCATCAGCAGCAGCATCATCAGCAGCATCATCAGCAGCATCAGCATCACCATCCCCATCACCATCATCAGCATCGCATCATCATCAGCATCAGCATCAGCAGCATCAGCATCATCATCATCATCAGCAGCATCATCATCAGCAGCATCAGCATCAGCATCAGCAGCAGCATCAGCATCAGCATCAGCATCAGCATCAGCAGCATCATCATTCAAGGGCCACGTTCTCGAGGAATCTAGAAGTTTGTATCTCTTCCTCGGCGGTAGGCGGCGGAAGGCCAGCGCGCAAGTAAGGCGAGGCCGCCTCCGCCAGCAGAAGTAAAGGATGCGCATCCAAGATGTTGCTATATGTTTGTGCTCAGGGTTTCCAGAACCTGCCATGAAGGAAACGGGCCTCGAGATTTTCGCCGTTTTTGGCCTTCCGGGCCCTCCTCGGTCCCTGGGACCATCAAAAAACGATTCATGATAAAGAGTTGGTCCCAGTGAAGGCCCCCGGGTCCAGGACCCGTTTCCCTCAGCACCCGCAGGAAGAGTGCCGCCTCCTCTCGTGTGTCTGGCATTGCGAGAACTCACTCGACATTGACATTCGAGTGTGCCAGTGAAGTCCGCAGTCGGTTTCGCTAATCAGCGTGCGCTTCGCCAGAGATACTCGGTTATTTCGGGACGTCGACTCGCACCCCGCTGTGGTCCATTCGGAACGCGGTGCCGCGCGCACGTGGAGCGCCCCGGCAATTTTCACTACAGGGCGTTTTGCTGACGGGAATTCTGTCCACCCCCGCCGCGAGTGCCCCCTTTGTCGTCGGCCTTCGACTGCAGCCGAGCGCCTCGCCCCCTCCGTCACAGTTTGGGCCCAGGCTGGGCGCGCGCGCCCCCGCTTGCCCGCGCGTGCGCGCTTGCTGTCGCCATGGGGGGCGGCCAGCGGCCGCCGTGGCGGCATGGCCAGGCGCCGCAGCAGCAGCCGCCGCGGCAGCTGCTGCGGCCCAGCACTGCGGCAGGCAGCGGTGCAGCACCCGCCAGCGCCATCTGGAAGGCGCGCGCCGCGTGGAAGCGCCCTGCGGAGGCGGCCGGTGCCGGCGGGCCGCCGCAGAAGAAGATCAGGGCCGTCGCGCCGCAGGCGTGGGGGGCCGCTGCCGCCAAGCGCTGGGCGGGCGGCATGGTGCCGAAGGCAAAGGCTACCCCAGCGCAGAAGCAGCAGGCGGCGGCTTGGCAGAGCAGTAAGAGCGGCAAGATCAGCAAGTGGGGCTCCAAGGCCTGGGGGGGCGGCGGCGGCGCTTCGAGCTGGGGCGGCGGTGGCGGGAAGAAGCAGCACGGCTGGGGCGGCGGCGGGCAGCAGAAGCTGTCCAAGTGGGCCAGCAAGGGCCAGAGCTCCAAGGGCGCCAAGCAGCAGATAGCCTCGGCGCTGAAGATCGCCAACCTCGCGGGCGCCCTTGGAGCCGCCAAGAGGGCGGCAGCGGTCAGGGCTACCGCGGGGGCGGCGGGCGAAGCACTGCCCAAGCTGCTAGAGCTG